TGGCATGTGGGGTTGCCGATGGAATCATGCTTCCAAGTCTGCTGTGAATATTTAGTGAGGCACCACTTACAGAGGGCTTGGACCGTGCCAGGCATAAAGCGAGGGACACCTAAGTGCTTGATAAACATGCACAGTTCTGTAGCAGAAGCTCCTCTCTGTTTCTCTGCATTTCATCTGAATTTTGGAAGCCATTGCCTTATCGTAGCTGTCAGTGTAGATTTCTGTACACAAAGACCCAAAGCTGCAGGTTAAAACAACCATTCCCTGCAAGTGACTGGGAAGACCCCTTAGAAATGATACCTCTGTCTAAGAGAATTTAATATCTCTGATAATTAGCTTCTTTTTTGCTCTGGTCAAGTAGCCAGGTAGTTTAAGGAGGGCCCTTCTTTTCCGAGAAATTTTTAGACTCTAGGGCACATGTTGTGTAGTGAAAGCAGCAATCAAGGTGTTTGCACCTTGTCAAGGGTCCTCCTCAGCATGAGCCGTGGCTTGGAAACCGTCCTGAAATGGCTCAGGGCATACTACGAGTGTGGGAACCTCACAGAGTAGGGTTCAGGGCTGGGGCAACTCTCAGATCTTTAGAAGAAAGTTGCAAAACACTATAAAGAACTGAACTTCTTCGGTCTGTTTACTGTAACACCTTGGAGAGTTAATTGAAAAGGGAAGATGAAAGTTTGCTAAAAGAAATGTTTTTTGAACAAATGAACTTTAAAAATCTATAAATACATGCTTAAATTAAACTTGAGCCTTAGCTACGAGAACTTGTGACTGTTTTTGCTTTTAAAATAGGTCTTCATTTAACTTTAAAGCTATTATATCTATAAATTCAAAAATGTCCCAAACACCTGAAAATATTTCTTCAGAGTTGACACATAAAGCATAAAAATGATCCCCATCTCTGCTAGAATATGGGTTGGGGACTATTTCAGGTAATCAACTCAAAGCAACAGAAGGATTCCGAGAGTAATGGGCCATATAATGAGTCTGGCTGGCGCGTCCCTGCTCAGACCCTGGCTGGGAGGCGGCAGGTGTGGGGTCTTCACTGGGATGCAGGCGTGGCCCTTGGGCCTTGTTTGGAGCTGAGCTCTCCTCCACTGCTGGGGCTGCGTGGCTCTGGCAAGCCACGTTGCTTCTCTAAATCTCGGTTTTCTCTTTCCTGTAGAAATAGTAGCTACCTCCTAGAGTCACCGTGGCATCAAACAAGGAAGCCCACGCACAGTTGCGGGGCTCTTGTTGTGACATTAACTTATGTTCGCTTTCCTCCCACAGCTGACCCCACCCCAGTGGAGAGTGCGGTCGCCCATTGTCTCAGGATGGGCAGGAAAGTAGCCGGAACCCCAGACTGTGGATTCCATGGGGACATGGCACCGTGGCTTCTTAGCAGAGGGGTCTGGAAAGCTTGGCAGAGACCCCAGCCCTGAATTGCCTGGAATGGTCTATAAGCTACAAAGACCACCTGTGCCCCCTGAGGGGCCACAGGCCGGAGACAGGTGTTAGAACCAACCTGGGCGGCCGATAATGTGGCTGGATCTTGGGTGACTTGAGCTACTGCTGAGGGGCAAGGGCTGAAGC